TTCTGCTAATCAGCCCACAGTACATAGGAGAGCCCCAACAAGGAGTTCCCTGGCCCCCAAATGTCAATAGTGCCCAGGCTGAGAAATCCTGGTCTGAATCAATGCACCCAGGTGTGTGATAAAGACCTTGGGGTGTTAGGCAGTTGGGGTGAAAGTCCACCAGAGATTGTCGCTCCATTTTAGAGAGAAGAAAGTCAAGGCTGAGAAAGAGCTTGTGCCCTGTGTCCTCCATCACCCAGCCCATTTGTGCCCGAGCTGTGCATCTACAGGCTGGTGTGGCTTCCAGCAAAGCTTTCTTAGCTTTCCACTTTGCCACTCTGTGTAAGAAGTCCCTCCCTCCCCCTCAATTACTGCACAATCATTTGTTTAATGTCTATCACTCCCCATGGGCTGTAGGGTCCGGCAAGACATCTGGGGCCTGGCGCAGGGCCTGGCATAAAACATTTGTTTAATTAATGAAAGTCTTTGTACGATATTCATGACAACTGCGAATATCAGATCCTACAACAGGTTTTACTGAGCGTTTACTTCCTAAGTGCCAAGTACTGCTCTCAACTATACTTTTTAACTAGTTTTTGTTCCCAGCGGCCTCATGAAGCAGGTGCTGTTAGTATCCCCATGTTACAGACGAGGACACTGAAGCACAGAAAGGAAAAGGACCGTGTCCTAGGGGACTTGGCTAGGGAGTGAAGGAGCCAGGATTTGAACCCAAGGCCTTTGGAGCCTTTCCTCTAACCATGGACTTATGGTGAACCAGTGCTGTATGTCTGTCCCACACTCTACTTTTAGAGGACCACTTCTTCCCCATCTCATGGGCTGGGCTACATGCATTGGCCCCTATCTGCCTAACTTTCAGTCCAGGCCTTGGCCCATAGCTTAGGTCTATCACAGACTCTGTCCTTCTGGCTATGTGATAGGATCAGAGATGGGCATGGGATTAAAGGTGAGCCCATCACAGTCTCCCCTGGGACTTTTTCTGGACCTCCTGGAAATATGCTTTTCTATTCCCTGGAGATCTTTGATGTAAAGATGATGCTGGAGGCCATCTCCCTAGCCACGTGGAAGAAGCCCACCTCAATAGGAGAGAATGGGGACAATATACAAAGGGGAAAAAAAAAGGAAGCAGATCCACAAGATTGGTGGTGGGAGGAGAATGTAATAGAGTTTAATAAGTGACACTGCTTAAGCTCCTGGATCCAGCCATGCCTGAATGATCCACTCCAGTATTTTCAATTACCTGAGCCATAGCTATTGCATTTTGGAGGGGGGTGGGGAGGGGGGTGTTAAGACAGTTTACGTTGATTTCCTCTCACTTGAAACTCCAGGATGTGTCTGACTAATACAAGTTGGTTTCAATGCACCGAAAGGCCCATTTATTTTCTTTAGCTCTGATTTCAGAGTGAATGGCGTTGCAGTACCCTAGGTGGCAGAGAGGGCTTTCACAAATCCAGACATGGCTATTGGAAAAAAGGCCTGGAAGGGAATGATAACAGCTAACATTTATTAAGCTCTAGGTGGCAGGCACCGCTCTAAACGTTTTATATAGATTGCTCATTAAGCCTCACAAGCACGCCATTTTTTGGTTCACCATCATCATTCTTATCATCCTATTTTATGAATGGGTAGACTGTAAGGTGCACAGAGAGAGTAAGAAGTTTGCTCAAGGTTACAGAGCCAGGGGCGCCTGGGTGGCCCAGTCAGTCGAGCACCTGACTCTAAATTGCGAATCAGGTCATGATCTCACAGTTCGTGGGTTCAAGCCCCATGTCAGGGTCTGCTGACAGTGCAGAGTCCATTTGGGATTCCCTCCCCGCCCCTTTCCCTTCCCCTGCTAGCACACTCTCTCTCTCAAAAATAAACAAACAAACATAAAGAAAGGTCACAGAGCTAGTAAGTGGCAGAAAAAGACTTGAACCCAGACAATTTCCCTCCAGACCCCTACATCTAACTCCTCTGCGACACCATGTCTGCGTCCCCTGCAAAGGAGTGATGGTCATAGTAAGCCCTGGGTCCTGCTTGCACACCCCAGGTGCGCCTTCCCAGATATCTGTTCTTTCCCTCCCCGGCTTGCTTCACGACGAGCCCCCTGCAGCCACTGTCACCGGTGCCATCCCGGTGCTGGCCGCATTTGTGCAGATAACAAACACAGCTACCACAAGATCAGAAAATGGACAGGTGACAACAGAGGTGGTGATTGTGCAGATGAGATCGGGGACAGGGAACTGATAACACGGACAGTTCTGTCAAGCCGCCTCCTCACCTCCAGCTTCTCGCCTCCGTGGCTAGCCCCGGAGGTGCCCTAATGAGGTGAGATCCTGACATCGGTGATGATCACAACCCCACTCGGTCACCTTCTTCCTTTTCTCAGCCAAACTGCTTTTAATCTCCCTGGTCGCCGGAGGGACAGCTCTCTCCCACCACACGGGCACCCCACAGAGCTTGAAGTTGGGCACATCAACTGTGCGAGTTTGCGGGCAACACATCTTCCTGAGCACCTGTTTGTGTGACAGTCACACCTGGGCTGACATCTCCTCTTCCAGGAAGGCAGGGAATTCCCTAGATTGCACTTCAGATGAATCCCAGAGGATAGGGCTGAGGGCCACAGGTGGTGGCCTGATTGCCGGTAAATGCTTAACAATCAGCTGTGGACACGGCGGGGAGAGGAGTCCTGATTTGTCGGGCTGCCAATTGCCTTGGTGTAAACACCCTCACCATCACCATTTTCAGCTACCAGTGTGAGGCTCACCACATTCTTGAGAGGTTAACCCTTGGCTGTCACGATCCTGGCACAGCTAGAAAGCCTGGTCTGAGCCTCACGCCTCCCCACTTATGTGATTTTTAATATTAGGAGAAGAGAGAGACTGCTTCATGGAAAATAAGGCTTTTAATAAACAAACAAACAAACGAACAAACAAACAGGGGCGCCTGGGTGGCTCAGTCGGTTAAGCGTCCGACTTCAGCTCAGGTCGTGATCTCCCGGTTTGTGGGTTCGAGCCCTGCATCGGACTCTGTGCTGACAGCTCGGAGCCTGTAATCTGCTTCAGATTCTGTGTCTCCTTTTCTCTGCCCCTCCCCCACTCACGTATGTGCGCACACGCTCTCTCAAAAATAAAATAAACATTAAAAATAAAAAAAATAAGTAACAAACAAATAAACAACATAAAAAAAAAACAAAAAACTAAGGACAATGTAATACAGGCTGATTGACTGGGCTCCAGCCCCCATGCCTCCCAATGAATGACAACGAAATAAACCCATAAAAGATCAATAGCATTTTACACAAAATCTCTAGCTCTCCAACTACAACTTATAAGCGTACCTCACTTTTCTCGCTTGGCTTTAAAGTGGAAGGAAATCACCAGGGACACCTGCTCGTAGAGGTAGGTGTCTGCAAATCTGCTCTTCCCAAAAGGCAGCGGAATTTGGCAAAGTGGCAGTTTGCAAATGCAAATACAAAACCAAGTGAATCCAGAATCCCAGAGCTAGCTTTTTTTTCTCTCTCTCTCTCTCTCTCGTTTTCTTCCCTCTCTTTCCCTTCTCACGCCTCAGAAGAGGAAACATTCAACGGAGAGCATTATGGGTAATCAAAAGAACACTAATCAAAGCAGAAGATGCCAAGATTCAAATCTCATAATGAGCAGGGGTCACACCGACATTTGTGGGCTAAACCCAGAAAAGTGGGGAAAATGGAGGAGATTGGTCTTGACGGTCTTTGGTTCTGGCATCCAGGGCGTCGGGCAACATCTGCTTAATTGCTGGTCCAGGTGAGGGATGCTGCAGTCAGCTGTATTAGTCGGGTTAAACTTTCATCCACCCACCCAGCTGGCCCGCTGGCAATTCATGCCGACATTCCTCTGAACAGTCCAAGGTCACCAACGACCTTCACGCTGTTAAACCCAATGGTCAATTTTCCAGCCTCCTCTTACAGTTAATCACTCTCTCTTCCTTGATACACCTTACTTCCGGGGCCCCTCGCTCTGCTGGTTTCTTCCTAGTTCACCTGCGGCTGCTCCTTTCCAATAGCCTTTGCTGGATCCCCCTTCTCCTTCTGCCCTCCAAATGCTGGAGGGTCCCGAGCTCCATCCGTAGGCCTCCACTCTTCTCTCTCTGTGTATACCCGCCCGGTAACACGGCTTTAAATACCATCCCTATGCTGAAGCATCCCAAATGTATACAGCCAGCCTTGACCTCTCTCTTCAATTCCAAACTCTTGGACGATTTAACAGACATCTCAAACGTAACAGGCCCCTAAGTGAACTCCCCGTTGCCCCCACCCTACATGTTCTCAACTAGTTCCTGCCCATTTTTGTCTTAACAATTGGTAACGCCCTCCTTCCAGCAACTCAAGGTTACATCCCTGAAGTGTCCTCGACTTCTCTGTTTTCTCCTACCTCGCATCTAATCCACCAGTAAGTACTGTTTGTTCGACCTTTACCCTAGATCCTGAGTCCCACCACGTTGCACCTGCTCATGTTCTGGTCCCAGTCACCATCATCTCTTGCCTGGATTAGCATCACAGCCACCTTATTTGTTGCCTGCCCCTGCTTTTCCTTCTTCTTTCTTTCTTTCTTTCTTTCTTTCTTTCTTTCTTTCTTTCTTTTTTTCTTTCTTTCTTTTTTAATTTTTAATGTTTGTTTTAATTTTCATTTTTGAGAGACAGAGAGAGAGAGAGAGAGAGCACGAGTGAGGGAGGGGCAGAGAGAGGCAGAGACACAGAATTCGAAGCAGGCTCCAACGCGGGGGCTCAAACTCACGAGCTGTGAGATCATGACCGAAGTCGGATGCTTAACCAACCGTGCCACCCACACGCCCCACCAAGCATCTATTTTCAACACAGCATCAATATATACCAGACCCCATCCCTCCTCTTCTGTAAACCTTCTGTTGGCTTTCTACTTCACTCAGAGGGAACCAAAGCCTTCCAACCACCTCTGAAAACCCCCAGCTCCTTCTGGCCTCATCTCTGCTCACATGTCGTCCGACACCCTGGTCCAGAGCACCCTGGCCTCCCTCTGCTGTCTTAGCTCCACCCTCGCGTCTCTGCATGGCTCACTCTCTTACCTCCCTCATACTTTTCTCAAATATCGCTTTACCAGAGGTCTTCCCCCAACCACCCTTGTGAGTTAGCTAACCCACATTGCTCTGGGTCCCTTCTCCTGACTTCATTTTTTCTCCACAGCACTACTGCTATTTGATATGTTAGCCCTTTGGTTTCTTGTTTAGCGTTCGACTCTCCTCTTTACAACATGATCTTCGTGAAGGCATCTTCATTATTCCATCCCTAACTGCTAGAACAACGCCAAGCAAATAGTAGAGGGCAGAGGAATAAATGGATGAGTCTGTCTATCCATTCATCCATCCATTCATTCACCTGTTCATCTATTCTCTGTCTGTCTGTCCATCCATTCATCCATCCATGCAATACAGTTCTTACTGGAATCCGTATAGGTTTGTGGCAGGGCCGGTGTATTAACCCTTCATGTATGGAAGGAGATGTCCAGAAATCAGCCTCTGTTGGGGTCTTAGGCCTCCTTGAGATCAGCAGTTACAATCACCATGATCTGGACTTATTCACACAGCATCTGGCCCCATCCATGATCTTTCAATTTAGGCATGCAACGACTACCCTTTCACGGCACCTTACGAAGCAATTTCCTGTTTTATTCCATGAAATACTTGACAACTGTACTGTACAATATGGCCACCGCTAGCCGCGTGTGACCCTTTAAATTCAAATTCGTTAAAATAAAATAAAAAATTCAGTTCCTTAGTCACATTAGCCGTATTTCAAGCACCCAATAGCCACCTGTGGCTAGCGGCCGTCATACTGGGCAGTGCAGTTCTAGAACGTTTTTATCATGTTAGAGCAGCGCTGCCATAAAACCTCTCTGTATGAAGTAGTTTTTCCCACTCTGTAGACCGGAAAATAAGCCCAGCGAGGTCCCACAACCATCACGAGACAGAGACTTGCCTTGAAGTCTGGCTTTGTGACTCCAAGTCCCTTTTCTTCCCACAGCAGAGTGATTTAAGAGCTGGGTCACCAAAGGCTTGTGCCTAATTAATTCAGCTTCTGATACAGCAATCAAGGTGTTTGTCTGCTGGCGACAGTCTCTTGCCATGTTGTCTATGCATTATTCATGCCCTTTTCTTCTGGCAACAGCACCTCCCTTTTCCCTGGCCACCTCGTTTCCCCCTACACTCAGCACATGAGCCTCCCATAGGGTTGACCCCATGCTGATTCCAGGATGAATGTGTGACTCAACTCTGGTCAATCCCTGCTCCAAGAGAAAGTGGGTCCTTCAGCCCCCTGCCTCCGGGAGACTCGTGAATGAAAGGAAAGCAGGGCTTACCTGGAGGCATACTTCCCTCCTTACCTTTGTTCCTCAGACAGGAAGCCTAGAGGAAATTAGGCCAGAGGAGGAGAAGAGGTGGTGCTTCTGGGGGGTGGAGATATGGAACATTCTAGAAGGAGGAGACTGGACAAATCTCGAGGCCTTAGCAGGAGGGTCTGCAGGCCTCTGATAGTGGGAACGTGTCTGGTTTCTTCCAGCAGGGTGACAGGTCAGCAGGGCTGAAGTCTGGAGTGGCCACATGTAGGCACCACACATAGGGGTCATGGGTCTGGACCCTGGACACTGGGGCTCCTGACATCACCAAAGAAACACCTAGGCTCAGGGGAGAGTGCTGTCCACCTCTGGGGGTCAGGTGGGCCTGGACAAAGACCAGGTCAGCTGAGACCACCATGGATGCAAGACTCCACTCTCCTCCTCCATTCTTTGGTCATCAGATGAACTTCCTGGATTACCACGTGACCTCGGGCAGGCGTGGAGGGACTCACCGAAATGATGAGTCTGAATTTCTCACCTCTCCTGGTTGGGTCTGGTCAGATTTCTTGCACGTGTGGTTGTGGAGTAAGGTTCATACAGGTAATAGCACAACATGACCACGGGACAACCATCACAGCATAACCCTCAGAGCAACTACCTGGGTGAGAGCTGATGCTCTGACAATCCCTGTGCCAGGCTCACACTTCCCTCCATACTTTAGCTCATTGGACATCACAGCAACTCATGAGACTGCCACTGGAATTAACCCCATTTTACAGATGAAGAAACTGAAGACCAGAGAAATCACACTATTCAATCAAAGTCACACATCAAGTTAGGAGCAGAACGGGACTCAACCCACAAAGTCTATCTTAGCTCCAAAGCCTGTGGTCTCTGCTTTTGAGTAGAAAGGACTTAATTTTTCCCAGAGCTGAGCCCATGGACCCAACCCTCAGTGACTCTGCCCAGCAGGATCTGAGGATCAAAGCCAAGAGTTTCAAGAGTTTCATGAGACCCTGAGTCCTCGTCTCAATGGGGAAAAATCTGAACTGGTGATTTTTCTCACCTCTTTCTTGCTCATCCCTGGAGATCTTGGGAGTAATGGCAAAGTAATGAGGGGTCAGTGTTGGGTATCTGCAGGAAGGAAATGGCAGAGGGCAGGGGACTGGCACAGCCTGGCAGCCACCGACATGGAGTGAGGCTCTTAATAATGCTGGATTTTTCCAGCAGGTCTGCGTGCTAATTAAACCTGCTCCTCACAGCCTCTGCAAAATGAAGGCGCCTCACCTGAAAGCCTGTAATTTGCCAACATGAAGGAGAACAGAAGCAAGAACTCAAAACATTACCCCCAACCACGGCTTTGGGATATTGATTAGCAAGACACAGAGACACAGCCATGCTTCCAACCCCTCCAACCCAATCAACATCAATATTGCTCTCCTTGCAACGGAGAGGAGAAGACCCTTTTAATGGGGAGAAGGAAACAGTCCGGAGGCCGTGACATTTGCCAACCTCACTACCGTGTTCTGCTTTACCGAAAACGTCATCATAGGTGAAGATCTAAAAATCACAGAACTTGTCAAAAGATACTGTAAAGCCCCAGCCACACGTCCTAATGACTCACAAAATGACTAGTCTCCAGCAGCAGCCTGTAATTAGAGCCGCGCTGTGCTGAATATATATACACATAGCCCCTGCGTTGAGCTTCCACAGTGAGTCCGGAGTCAGCCCCCTGAATTGTGTTCACACAGGGAAGGCCATGAGAGGTCGCAGGCTCACCCTGAGAGGGGAGAGAAAAGCTTGAGACCGTCCAACACGCAAGTGGTGATTTAAAGGAACAAATCGGAAGGGTCGATCCGGGCAGGAAGTGGGTAGAAGTCGGAGGGCAGGCTGGGAGCTGGAATCCTGAAACGAGGCTTTGATCCCAAGCTGTGGCGGGAACAGGAGTCAGCCGCCTTGCTTTGTGGAGATGGGCGTTCCCGCTGACCAGAACGTTCCGACATGCCAGCAGGGACTGGGGAAGGGGGGACCTGGCTTCCTGTTTCAGCATTTCACCGGTACCAGCAACACCACGGGGCTCCTCAAACCACAGTGGGAGAGAAGGAAGAGCAAGGAAGAGAAACTAAGCAGACCAGACGCTTGCCTGGCCCCAAGGATGTGCGGGGCTGAGGCCAGCCACAGAGGGGCCCGCTGC